TTTTTCTTTTTAAATTCATGCCACTTTCACCTAACAGGTGATACAATATTCAAACATCGTGTCCCACTCTGTCCCAGCTGTGTCGTACCCACACACTGCTCACTTAATTATACTGTTTTGTGTTTTGTCTTCTCAACAGAAAGTGTGTAAGATTATGGTGTTCAATTGCCAGTCAGGTCTCGGGATACTGTCCTCACTCAACCCAACCCAGAGACAATGGCTTGTGGAGTGTGCAGTACATGATATTCTCTCTGTTGGGAGGCCTTTCTACTCTTGTTTCCTATGTTTGAAATGTGTCTCCTTGTTTGAATGCTTAACTGCCCCCCCCCCCATTGTCAGACAGCTCTATTTGTAAGATTGTAACTTTCTTTTCCTTTTATAGAAAATTATTATTATTGGGAGGGGCACATGTCTGCTACAGCAAATGTTTGGAGGCTCAGAGGACAGCTCTGCAGAACTGGTTCTTTCTTTCCACCTATTCCTGGTTCTGAGGAATCAAACTCTGGTTATTTCTTTTTCTTGTTTGTTGGTAGCATCAAGCACATTGGAAGTGCTTAGTAAATACTTTAACGAAATGTTGGATGAATAGCATTAGAAAAATATATGATCTGTTTTTCCTAATTTGTTTTAAAAGTTGTCCTCTTTGGGGCCCAGACATTTCAGAAAGCATAGGCATACTGTCCTAGCAAGCAGGACCTGACTTACATTTTACTTTCAGAAATTGTGACAGTTCACTATAACCCAAAAATTGTAAAGAACACAGGAACCTAAGAATCACTTTAGATAATTCTTTGGGAACCAATACTCTCTGAATATGTTTTGGCGATTTCTTCTTAGTGCTGATTAATGGGACTTTTTGAGATGCTGTATATGTTCAGTATCTGTACTGTCTAGTGAAGTAATCACCATGCACGCAGGCTATGGAGGTCTAGAAATGTGTATAGGCCAACAAAGACTGCATTTTATTTTACTGTTTGAGACAGAATTTCACTATGTTGTATAGACTAGTCTCACATCCATGGGCTCAAGCAATCTTCTTGCCTCAACATTCAGGGTGGTTAGTACTACCTAGATTTTTTTAAAATCTAAATTTAAATTAAATTTTATTTAGTCTTAAACAACCTTAGCTTGAGTAGCCAAGTATGGCCATTGGTTCATACAATTCTAGACTTGGTCATTCAGTGTTGCAAGATGGTTGAGTCCTCACTGGTCAGAGAAAGACTGTAATTCCAAATGTTTTGGGTTGTCAGAGGTAGAGGGAAGAAGGAAAGGGGACGAGATCACCTTGTTCCCTCAATAGACAGAGCATTCTATCTTAGACATCTACAAGAAAAGGAAATTTTTTGCTTGGAGTAGTGTTGAATAAATGACTCAATAGGTTTGAATTCCTTTCAGAGTTTTGCACATATATAGAGAATAACTAAATTCAGGTTTTAAAGGTATATTCTTCATTTTATTTAATTTATATAAATTTACGAAAGTTTTTAAAAGGCTTCATAATGAAGCATATATTTAAATACCTTGTTTTTATTTAGGTTCTAAAAATGCAAACCTTTATCTAGTTCAGCTCAAGGTAAGGAAGATTTAATACACTGCACTCTGAGCTGTTTTTCCAGAATAATAAAAGGCCTCACAGAACTCTTTACCAAGAATTGTCATTTTAAATTCTTAGCAGGTCTGTCATTTAAATTGGGCACTATGCAATTTTCTAGCACCTATATAGAAAGAGCCTACCTTGTGCTCTGCCTAGCTCCAGCTTTTATCTCCTTCTCCAGTGCCCTCCTGAGCTGCTGCTTCTCAGTTAAAAAAAAAAAAAAAGCCCAATTCATTTTAAAGATTAAAGATGTTTAAAAAAAATTAAAGATTATCTAGAATTTGCAGAGAAACCCACCAGGGCGTCATAAACAATGCTGCTGAGGGTCTTTCCTGATGAATAAACACAGGTTATTTTTAGGTGTTGGGCTGAACTGTCAGCAGTCAGATCACCAATGGCAACACTCAGTGGTTCTGGGAAAGGACTGGGATTAATAACAGAAAATAAGGGAGGGCAGCGGTACTGGTAGGAAGGAAGGATGCTCACTATTCCTTTCTTTCAATTACTCCACTTTTTTCCCCTCTTTTTTAGACTTGGTCCAAATTCAGAGCCAATATTAAGGTTGAAAGTAGTAAAATACAGATTTTTGTTTAGTTTGTTACACTAGATTTGAGAACATCAGAACAATTCCATAGACAGAAAACTGTAAAGATAAAGTGATTTACTGTTGCTTTATTCAAGAGTATCACACTCTGCACCTACACTTTCATGTTTTTCTCTAATGAACTAAGAAAACTTTAATGACATTACAAAATCATTGGATTTCTCAGACAGCATTCCACACATGGACTGTATTTTTATTAACAATGCTGACTTGAGGCTATTCTATTCATGGCTTCTATATATATTCTGTAATGCTTCTAATGATTTTTGGGACTCCAGGCAGGGGCATAGCAAGACACTATGTGCTTTATTGAATCTAACACACCACTTTCAACATTACTGCAGAGCTGTTGTGGTATGTCAGGAGGTAATAGGGTATGTGATTATAATAATCATCACTTTGCTTATATGTTCTAATCCATCATGGCAGACTTATGACAAAGTGAAACAATTTCTAAATCAGTAAATAGGAACTAATGAAAGGTTAATATAGTGCTGGTTAGCAGGAATAGAGAATGTAGTTTGTTGCTAAGATTGAATGTAAACCAGGTATATGCAGAGCAAAGAGCTCAAGGAAAGAATAAAATCTGTACTAGGCTTACTTAACCAAACAAATACCACACAAACACTACAGAATGGAGATAGTTTGCTCTACAGATGTTAAATGTCTAAGTATCTTCAAAATTAATCACAGAATCCAAACATTATTGTTTAATGATAACACAGCCAACTGACAGGTACACACATTTATATTTTAAAACCTCTTATCTATGAAACATTTTGATTTGTAGTATTTGAGAATATTAGTTTTTAGAAAAAAAACTTAGCATAGGTAAAACTTTATTTGTGATTTGAGATAGAGTTGTCACTATGTAGCCCTGGCAGACTTCAAACTTGCAGAGATCTGCTTGCCTCTGCCTCTGGAGTACAGGGATTAAAGGAGTGCACCCAACCATGCCTGGCAGTAAAACTTTAAAAATGACATTTATATATATTCTCACAATCAAAACATTTTTTTTTAAAAATTTGTGTGTGTGTACATGAGTGCTATCTCTCTAGCTCATATAAAAATTATATTAATTTAATGTATGTGTCCACATATGTCTCACAGTTCTAGTGTGGAGGTCAGAGGTCATGGTAATTGAATTGAAGAACTTGGACTTGGCTCCAGGTGCCTTTATCCACCGAGGCATTTTGGTGGCCCCATATTATAAGCTCCAATCTCTCCTGATTATATCTGGTCTTACAACAGCTGTCAGCTTTGGAAATTAAATAATAAAACAAATTAGACAAAAGGAGCAACCTGCAAATCCTTTTCTACACAACTTACTTCTACAATGACTAAAATATGGCAAAATAACATTTCAAACTTCTGCGAAGTCAGCTATTATGTAATTTCCTTCTGCTTTCAAATGATTTAGAGAGAATTCTTAGAAGCATGCTCATTTTCCTCTATGAAGAGGAGTTGTTCCGGTTTGTTACATTCGATGACACAGACACTACTCATGTGTGTTATTTTGATCCTTAACGACGAATCTGCTTTTAGTAATTTAAATAGTAGTTGTATCACAAATTCAACTTTCTTTAAGGAGCTTAAAGCTTACTAGTATTGTTCAATCAATGCTCTCAGCTTCTGTACATGGCAGACAATACTGAGTATGCAATTAAGGATGGAGTTCCTAAATCTCAGTTCCAGTCACATTAAATTTCTCATTAGATGGGTGAGATGGATCATCCAGTAAAGGTGCTTGCTGCCAAACTGGATGACCAGAGTTCAATCCCCAGGGCAGAGTTCAATCCCCAGCCCCACATGGTGAAAGAACAGAGCTGACTCCAGCAAGTTCTCCTTAGAGTTCAACACATACTCTGTGGCAGGCATGTGTCCTACTAATAAATAAATAAGTATTAATTTTAAGAAGTTACTATAGAATATTGCAAGTTGATATATAAAACAGAGTATCTGACAGTTCAGGCTCAATATCAGCCATAAGACTCATAAATTCAAGTTAATTATCTGTCAATTAACCTGGGTTCATACTGAAGTTAGTGTTTTCTAACAGTCAATTAGAAGATAGATATTATGCAGACAAAAACATGGTCTTGACTATCTTGATTTTGCCAACAACAACCACATGGAGTTTTGAATCTTGACAAGATTATCCTTCTATTAGGAAAACAGAATCAAGACCAGAAAATTGAGGCCAATTATCAATATTTTTTTTTCAGAAAAATAAAAATACTCTATGTCATTTTAAAAAAGATGAGAGGGAGACAAGTTTCAAACAGGAAGTTCATAAGCAGGATTTAAATTAATCAGTCTCTAACGACTGTTAAGTACAACCTTTGAAAATTAATTTGCATAATGATAATCTACATGTGATAGGGTTGAACTTATTTAAGTGACATTATAGCTCACAATTCTGTCTTGCTCAACCACTGCTTCAGCACTGAATTCTTAGGAAATGTAATGCAGCTAATGAGGTAGCTTTTTAACTGAACAAACTGACAGGCCCCATATCTGCAGAGGCAGCTTGAAACTGTGCCCAACCTCTTGGCTTCCCAAGAGGCTTTTCAAAATTCAATAAATAACATCTGTAGGCGATGTTGGGTGCAGACCTAGCAGAGTGCGTCATAACACTGTGCTGGCAGAACAAAGAAACCATGACGACTGCCAAGTTTCCATGGCAACTGCAGTGAGGCTCTGAGAGTATAATAGCACATCAATCACTGTCCAAAAGAACTTCATTATCAGCTAGAAAAAACCTTTAGGATCTGTTTAGTGTGCAATTGTGGGTTAACTCACCTCAAAGCCTTGCTCTCGAGCAAAAGTGGCAGCTTCCTGGAAAAAAAATAGAACAGTTAATTATAAAGTACTAGATAATGAAGACATAATTCATTTTGAAACTCATTCAGTCTCTTTTTACACAATTATCTCAATATACCCACATAGATTAATTTTTATTTTTACTCTAAAAATATTTCCTTTTTGTCTTGTCATGAAAAACAATGGGCCACCTAATGTCAGCACACTTTACAAGTTGGAATACAGAAGATGTGGTATGTATTTTCTACACTAGCTGCCACAGTGAGCTCAGGTGTTCTGACCTCAGCAACGAAAGAATCACTTGAAACCCAAGGACCATGCTGGTGGTTATATTTCTAATTAAAATAGTCCACTCAGAAAGCTGTTCTGGTGACAAGAATGACTGCTCCTAGAGGCACAGATATGGGAAAAATTATTATTTTGCAACCCCATGATGGAATTTATAGACAGGGATCACAAGTGGTTGTTAAAGTCATCAGGTGGAAAGAAGACAGGGGACCGGTTCTTCCCATAGAATCCAAGCAGCACATGTTACATGTTGGTCACAAGGAGCAAAGTGTAACTTTATGATGGAAGGGATAAAGTTGTCATCATTTTAACCCTGTGATCAATGCTTCCGTTAATATCACTTGTAGTGGGATCACCAAACATTCTGTGCCTTCTGTTATGATGCATAACGGAGCTCATGGTGTCACTCAGGAAGTATTCTGCCCCAAAGATCTTAACAGCAATCAAAACTTGAGTCCAATAAATTGTACTAACAATAAAAAGAGAGGAACAAATTAAAGGAGACAGTGATAAGGACAATGAACAAATCTGCAAGATGGAACATTTATAGGGCAACTAGTTTGGTCTCTAACTAAAATTAACCTCAAAAATAAACTGGGAAGGGTAAATGAACAGAACCAAGACATGGACCTTAACTGGATCTGTTTTAAATAAACCAGCTCTGAAAGACACGTGAACAAATGTAATTTGAGAATAAGAAAATATGAGGAATCATTAGTTTGATATTAGGAATGATCAGCATGGTAAGGAAAATGCCTTTAACTTTTAGTGCTGTACCCCAAAATACTGAAGGATAAAATGTCACAACATCTGTAACTTAGAATACTTATAGGGGTGGAAATGAAGGAAAGCAAATTTGACAAAATACTGACAAATGTGTAATCTAGATGTATGTGATATGTGGGCTCAATACTTCCACTCTATATAAACCCATCCCCTGTTTCAAGACAAGGTCTTGCTACATAGCACTGGTTGGCCAGGAATTGTTAAGCAGGCAAGACTTGACAAAAACTCATACAGATCCACCTGCTTCTGCCTCCCAAGTGCTGGGATTAAAGGTTTGGGCCACCATACCTGGCTTTTGTCTAAGAGGAAGAGGCTATAAAAGTTAACACTTAAAAAAATGTTTAAAAATTTTAATACACAAAATTCTTCTAGCTTTTAAATATTTTATGAGTATAATTTAGGGAACATAAATGATACACTGTAATGCTTTTCTAGTAGGCTACTGAAAGACAAAACATAGCAAACCCCTGAAAACCAGAAACCCACCCACATCAATGTAACCAAATCCTTACACTTTTACTTGTGCATACATTTTAATTTTAGGAATGATAGAAAATGGAGGCAATGTTACTTTTCATTTCTACTTCCCTCTTGAAAGTGAAAAAAAAATGCAGACAACTGTCAAGAGTCTCTACATCTTAACTTACATTCCTCCAAAATTATCTTTGCCAAGAGATATTAATAGAAGGATGGGATTTGAGCCCAAGTAGTGAGCAGATCCAACTCAACTAGAACGACTGCTGCACCAAACCATGTAAGGCAGAAAGTACAGTCAGTGCCTTTAAAATAAATGTGGATAGTTCTTCCATGTTGAGGGAAATACTAATGAAGAAATACATGCATGTGCTTATGATCCATTATATTAAAAAGAGATTTAGAGAACCTACAATTTTGAGGGAGTGAAAAGGTCAGAATGCATGATTATGGTTGGAACAGTGAGGTTAACAGGAACCCTCAAGCTGAGTACACAACTCTTTAGTTCATTCACTAGAGAAATAACAGGATGACCAGTGAGCCACAGCTGCTGTTGATGATGACAATGACACCCTTGCACACAAACCCTTGACTACCCTCCTTTCAACTTATGAACAATAGAATGTTTATACTTCACATAGTTAATATTTGCTGTCTGAGATATCAAGGCAAAGGATAAGGTTGAAAAGACATCAATGTAGCATTTTCTAAGCTGTCATAATTAACTAAAAGAATTCTCAGATGAATAATGCAACTGAATAGCTCTGCTGAGAACTACTACTATACTTATTTTAGTTTTATTTTTGTATGTATATAAGTGTTTGGCCTGCATGTAAGTATGTGTACCTGTGCACGGCTGGTGCCTGCAGAGGCCAGGAGAGTGCCCCGGAACTGGAGTTACCAATGGTTGTGAGCTACTGTGTGGGTGCTAGGAACCATGCATACCTGAATCCTTTACTAGAGCAGCAAGTGTTCCCCAGCCCCTAAGAACTACTTTTTAAGCCCAGCCTGGGCAATAGTGAGTTACAGGACAGGGAGAGGGTGGGAGTGAGGGTGCTTCAGGGTCATTAAAAGGAATCTGTAGAATTAAAACTGCACTGTGATAGAAAGGCTGAAAATTCAATGTAGTTAAAGCGTGGGAAGGAGGAGCAGTGCAGGAGATTGACCTCGGGGCCTCAAATTGCTAGGTAAGTTCCCCACCACCAAGTTAAACCCCAAACCTGTCACATTATTTGTGTGGAATAGGCTCTTAGGTAGCTCAGGCTGGGCTTGAACTCTCCAATCCTCCTGTCTCTGAGTGCTGAGATTATAGATATGTGTCACCATGCCTGGCTATATTGCTTTATAATGCCAACTTTGTTCAAGTATTAATAAATTAACTGTAACTTGATATTATAGAACAATGGCAAGAATAAATGAAAGTATATTTACATGTATTTTTTCTTTTAGACAGAGGCTAACTATGTAACCTAAGTTGGCCTGAATCCTGTTATATAGTCTAACCTGGCTTTGAACTGTCTCCCTGCTTCCATCTATCAAATGTTAAGATTTTAGGCTTGTGACATCACGCTTAGATTCAAACCATTATTTTTAAAGGAAGGCATGCCTTAGGACATTTTCACATATGTAAACAGTTTCAAGCACCAACCCGTTTCTGGCTGAGGAAGGACATACTTAAGAAAAGCCAACTCAATTTTCTATCTTAGTGCCTCTTCATACAGGTTTGCTGAGCTGTGTCCTATTACCAGAACAGCTAAGTCCTTGTTATATGCCTTAAAACGATCTTATCGTCTGGCTTCCTCTCACCTTCCTTTGATCTTGGACTGGTGCCCCAAGTCACACCATTAGAGACGGCAGCTGTCTCACATCACTGTAGACTTTGTCACCACTAACCTCTGATCTGAAGGTGTTTGTAGAAATGATGGGACAGCATTTATTTCCCCCCCTAGCAAAACAAACAAAACAACAGAGGGGAACAGTTTGACCCAGCAAGAATTTTAAATAGAATTTTTGCTCTCAGATTCACTGCATGAAAGAGCAGAAAGAAAAGGCAGTAGGTCACAAAACAGGGAAGAAAGAATGAGCATAAAGGGTGGGCAGAAAAGCAAGGCAGGTTCCAAGTATCAGGAGTAATTCCAAGTGAACTGATCACACTAAATTGAAAAGGACTTGTTAGTGTGCCATTGCAGTAAAAGTGAGAAAAGAAAACAAGCAAGTCCCCATCTGTGCTGCCCCAGGGCGCCTCGTACTGAGTTTCACAAATCTAATGAAGCAGTCAGGTTAAAATCCAACCACAGAGTGGCTGTGACATGTGGAGAATAGCTAGGGTTAGAACAGAGAAGCAGGGCGGTTCTTAATGCAGGTGATTATCCATGTTGATAATCATTATATTTACAGGCTTTCCATTTTAGATCTGACATAAAAAATCACCGAGGAGGAGGGATTAAGGAGATAAACAACTGACAGAGGAGGTTTTCCGGCTCCCGTGAGAGTGCAGCACTTCCATTCATGCATGGCAAGCAACATAAGGAAAACTAAACAGGTCTGGGAAGACTATTTCTGATCACCCTGCACTTCACATTGACACTTCTTTCCATTTTGACAACTTTCACCATTATGCCATTCCAGAGACACATCACATTTTCAGAACCCCTCCATTGTTGAATATGCTATAATATAACATAACCTTTACAATGAATGAAACTCCTATGATATGTCTTTTGCAATAACTGAGTCATTTTTTTCTTCTTCCTTGAATGAGTGTTGTCAATGAAATAATACATAATTAAAGTCTTACTCTTGTCTATACCATGCCCACTTAGGCATCACAGTAGGCTTGCTGCTTCACCACCCAGGCTAAAAATGTGCTGATCAAAAAGTGCCAGATATGGATTTTGAAATGAGTTTTAAAAACAAAGCTGGAATTTATAGTTAATGAAACTGGAATTCTTACATTAAGAGCTTTAAAAAAGGGATTAGCAAGCTATTACTTAAAAAGTACAATCCTCAGATTACCCAGAAAAAGAAAAAAGCAAGTGGATGTTTGTGCGTATAAAAGACAACTGCTTCCTTTATAATCAGCCGATGAAAAAACTTATTTTGTTTAATGTACACAAGTTCTTACTTAAATGAAGCAGAATTAGTGAAATTGATATTTAACTAAACTACAATGGTTATGCTCATTTTAATTGTTTGTAACTAGTTATTCTAGAAATACATATTCTAAATATTGGCCTAGAACCATTAGACTTTTTCAAACTCAGTTATTAATTGTAGGAAGGTTTTCTTTTCTTGATGTTACTTAGGACTTCCTATATATATGGGAAAGACTAGTAACTAGCACTATTATCATATCTCATAACTCTGACCCTATTTCCTGTGTTGTACTTCAAGACAATTAACCCAAGTTAAAGCTATCGTCTGCTTGTTAACACCCTGCAGTTGCATCTCAGACATGAGGGATTCTG